CGGTCAAGCAGGGTATTCCAGTTGCTCCTCTTGTTTGCTTTCCAGAAGTGCTATAGTCATTTTTCAGCCAAGACTGTCCCAATTCTATGATAGTGTTCCACTGCTGTCCATCAAGAACCTCCAGGAGTTCTCAATTTTCCTCTCAGAGGCCATTCCAACACCACAAAAATCCCTTAACTGCTTCTAGGTTCCATTACTTAAAGAGAAGACAGATGGAATTTCATCTGACAACATGCTACCCATTTCAAGTAGGCAGATGAGTATTTCAAAAACTGACTTCTCTTTTCCACCATTTTTCAAACTGCGTACTTAGCCATCTTCACACTGGCAATAAGAGAAACACCTCTTTCCTCTATACAGCTTTTAATAGCTCAAAGCATTCACAAAAGATTATGCTTTCACTGTAATACAAGCCAGAATGAGCACCATACTTCACTGAAGGGGAATTATACATCCTCAATTCTCCTGCCAGTTACAGATTTTTTTTATTTTTTTTAAATTAAATCTGACAAATTTCATTGAAGGGGGAACAGAGAGAACTCTTAAGGACAGACATTAAAAGAATACGGAAGCATCTGAGGACCAGAATGAATGTGTTAAGCAGCCCAAAGCAAGGCAACTGATAAAAGAGGTTTTACGTTAATAATTCCTCCTCCTCATTCTTCTCAGCTAGATTAAACCTGTGATTTACTGAACTTTTCCATTCACTTAATCAAATTGCTTTGTATCTGGTAGGAATTCTTCCTGGAGTTGCCATGAATTTCAACCCATTTTCTTCCCTCCTCTCATCCTAGTTTTTGTTTCTAAGCTTCTCAATGTAGAAGTCTTTATAACTAAGAAGTCTAAAATATTTTTTATTATCCTATTACTTTCTACTTTTCCCCTCTAATCTACAAAGAACAAAGGAAGTCTGGAGGTTATCTAAGAACCTAGGAAACAAACTTGATTTCATAGGATTAATTCCTTTCAGATAATGTCTTGGATCATTTCCCTGCAACAGCTTAAACACCTGTAGCACAGCTGCTTCTTTTCACGTCTCTGTCATTAGTTTAAAGCATTGGAAACTACTTTCTGTCATGCTATTGTCAGGATAAATATTCTACTGATACAGTAGTTCTTCAACTCTTTTGATATCCACTCTTCGTCACAAGCACTTCAAAACAGACTTGCAGAATGCTATACTTGCCTTATTTTCATAAGAAGTTGTTGTTCTTGTGAAAGAAGAGTTCACAAGTTCTTCCTTCAGGTTGTATGGTACAATATCAATTTAACTCTTGCTTTTCTTTCTTATATAATTAACGAACACTTGGCTTCTCTCCCTTTCTTTGGCTAGTGTTTTCTCTCTTACATTCCTTTCCTGCCCTCCAAACAGCTTCGCAGGCCATGTCTACCAAGCTTTCTGGTTAGCAAGAATTATGATTTGTTGATTTAAGAAGTCTAGAGAGGTTTTTAAACTTATTTTAGCAAGATCAGCTTGCTAAACTTGAATAGGTTACACATAGCCAGAGGCTCTTTAGGAAGAAGCTAGTTACAAATAGACACAAAGCCCATGCAAGGGAAAAAGAGTATGACCTTTGTCTCAGGGATCAGAAGTCATCAGCTTACACATATCCTCCTCTCTTTTGCCAGTTCATTTTGAGACTCCTTACCCTGCCCGAGTTCCAAGGCCCTGCATTTAGTTCATTCTCCTTGGCTCTCGGAGCTGGAGGTGCTGTCCATGACTGTGGTGTAAGTACGGGAATCTCAGGTCCAGAAGCTGAATTTTCATCAAACACAGCAAAACCCGGATTGTTTGAAAGCTGCTGAGAAGTTAGAGTCTGGAAGTTTCTGTTCTGGGTCGTGGCTACAAGCAAAATTATTTATGCAAATTAACCTTTAAACTATCATACTCAAGTGCAAATTCCACAACAAAAAGATGTAACTCTTCCAATAATATGTGGTTTCAGGAAACGAAT